GGCTATCATTACTACTGATGTGTTTTAACTCCATGAATGAAAAATTTATAACAAAAACTAAGGAATATTTTATACCTCTAAAACATTTCTATGGCCTCTAGAGATGCCCACAGTTTATTACTGTATCTTCTCTTCTTAGTCTCTCACTAGGGAATGAGCACTACCCCAAGCTTAGTCCACAGCACACCAGCTAGTATATATAAGTAATGAGGGCTTTTATTCACAACTTCATCGTATCAGACTAGATCAGTATGAATGGGCAAATGCGGGCAATAAAATTCTGGTACTCAAAAAAAGCCAGACGTAAGTAGCTAGAGAAATGAAATTTGCTCATCAGTTAGTTGGGTAGCTTCATACAATTAAATTTACTCTCTATTCGGTACTTTTTTTTCCCCTCGGGAAAGATATGTTGGACATTCTTTTTCTGTTTTAAATAAAAAATTCATTCTTGTACAACTAAGGACAGAATTTCCAAAGCACCCACTCTAGCAAAATTAAGTAACCCTTCTGATTTAAGCTAATGCAAGAGAGTGGCCAACAAACTGGGTTGATATCACACACCAGACACTTGAAACCGTGTCTCATTCATGAATGAACCATGAATTTAAAAGAAAAATGACTAAAATTGCTCCATGACAAGGCCTACTTTCTGATCAGTCTTATAATGATTTTGTGACTATCCCAACTTTTGCATTATTTATCGTAAAAAATTCTAAACATATTTAGGAATTCACCAGTTGGAGTGATAAACACTCAGAGCTATGCTGTAACTCCTTCATCCAGACACCCTTATCTTCTTTTTCCACAAAGACAATAACAAACTTTTCCTTGAGTTGCAATTAGTAAGGAAAAGCATCCATTAGAATATGGATGCTAGGCAATCATAAACAATCAAGTGGCTAGCCACAATTTGGGGGAAAATCTGTTTTATCCTAATACAGCCTCAGAACATGGCTTTAAAAGCAAAATACATCTAACTTACAGCTTTGGGTTCCCAGTTATCCAGCTTGGGAATTAAATCAGGCCAGTTTGCCTCTCCCAGTTCTCCTTCTGCTTTGGGACCATTTCTTGATTTACTGGAAATAGCTCAGAATAGTAAAAGGAGGCGAAACATCCATGAATTTTGCAAATAATTAGCATCTGTGAGAAGATAAAACTATTGGGAGACGTTCAAGTAAACTTCTAAAGGGTGAATACTGCAGTTTCTAAGGATCTCCATGTGCTGTTTTATATTTGTATGGAAAACTGAAAGCTCACTCATTTTTGAAACTGTAAGCAAGAAAAAGAAGTCGACTGCTATGAAACTTATGCATAATAACTTTGGACAAGTAGAAAACTTCATACTCTATTTTGATTTTTTTTAATTCTCAAGGGCACATCCATGACTAATAATATCTAGTGATCAGAAACTTCTATTTGCAGTAATTTAGATTATTTTTTATGATGCAATATGGAAACGCTATATTAGACTTTGAAATGTGAGTTGGTCTCAGCGTTGAGAGACCTAGTAAGTGTGACATGTTATTCTGTGACATTAAACTAAGTTTAAAATGTCAGCTCTTCTACTTCTGAAGAACAGAAGAAATTGTATTTGACCGTATATACCCATCAGAGATACACTTGCCAAATAAAAGTGAGTGTTAAGAGTGGCAGGAGATACAAAAATCACATGGAAAGATTTTGTCATTACCATCGTTTTCTGTTCCTTTATGTGACTCCTAATGAAAAGTAAAAATACAAGCTAGTAAGTTTATTTTTAACTCACTGGATTGTCTTCCGTTTTAGATCATAATATGGTCTCACTAGAGCCTTACTGCAAATATACATGATCAAGAGTAGCTAAGTTTCCACATAGAGGAATAAAAATGTTGGAGAATCAGGTTGGGGTTGTTATACTCCTTTGCAGTGTGCTACAGTAATGACGAACCTGTTTTATACTTAATCCTATCATCAAGCTTCTAATTTTTTTCATTTTAAATGGCTACCACATATAAGGAAATTAATAAGGTAATTTACTAGTAATGCTTTTTTAAGTCAAAAGATGTGTTATCTAGAAAATAATTTAACACTGTAATGGGACCTTCAAGATCAATTTTGTTTTATATACTCTGCAGCAAAAATAACATTTCTAGTAGGAAGGTATTACTTACAAACCTAGCAAATTCTAGACATTCACATATTTGTGTAAACAATTTTAACATGGTTTATTACATTTTCAGAAAGGTTAAATCTTATATCCAGTTTTCTGCTAATTCTTTCATATATTATAATAAATATATGTTATTTGAGTGCATGTGTGTATATTTTTTCACACACACACACACACATATATATATATGTCATATATACATAAAACAGCACTTAATGGTCACTGTCTTTGCAGTGTTAACTTGGGGGAAAAATGAATTGCTATTATGCATAACCCATGGCGATCTTCCCTTCTGTTTCACAAATGGCCATATCGGGATGTAAACAAAACACTGGAGCGAGCCATTCCGGGTGAACTGTATTTCAAGTTGTAGGTTGGTGTTCTCATGAAGAATTGTGTACTTCCTGGTAGTAAATACCTAAAAATGATAGTTAAAAAAATTAGACTTTTACAAACAAATTTAATATTAACATCTCTCACTAAACTGTAATGTGGTTAGTAACTTGTATGTCTTAGACGAGAAATGATCCTCTAACAATGCAATTCACATAAAAAGAGTTCCTCTCCTGAATTGAGGAGTAGGGGGCAGGAAAAGGGTCATAAAGTCTCACCCAAAGAGCTGAGTAAAGATGCAACATGTGATCTCAGTATCCCAATACATCCCATAAAGAGTCATGAAATCACAGGCTAGGAGGCTGTTTATATGACTCATGTTAATTTGGAATGCACCATGAATCTCTGTAAATAATTTATAGAACTAGTCAAGTATTTCTTAAAAATATGACATGAGAATCTAGCTAGCCACATTAAAATAATTGTTTATTTCAAGGATGTTGGAAACACTGATTAAAATTTAATAATATATCGATATATTATGACTATAGGTAATCTAAAGGAGAAAGTTAAAGATTCACATTCATAACTAGATTATAACTTTTATATTCTCAGACTACTAGGTGTTTATGATTATAGAATACCAAAAACAATCATAATTACAGGGTGCATGCAACCTTTGCAGCCAAATGTATTTCAGACTATATGAACTTTGCAGATTTTAGAACAATATGATGTATACACTATATATAACATAACATCTCCATAAGGGCCTTGGGGCAGCATTCTGTAAACAAACCATTAACGTTTCTGTAGTGAAGTGTAGAAAGAGTCACAATAAATTGGATAAAGACTATTAACAACTTTGTGTCAACTCAGGTCAGATGAGCCAATAAATGGATTACTTTCATTTAATTTTCTTTAGTTTTAGTTTTCAGAGCTTTGAGAATTAAGAATTGCAAATAAGACTGTACATCTGTATAATGTTTTCCTCTGGAAAACCTTTGATTAGCATTAGGCCAGTCCAATCTACATGGCTAGAGAGAAATAATCAAGGAAATTCACATGAGCAAAGGCTAATAAGCATTACTGTTAAAAGCGTTAAGTCCTGGTAATGTTAAGGACATGCCAGAAAGCTGGGACAAAGATACCTATAAAAAAATTTCCAAGAGCAGAAGCAGAAACAGAATGAGATTTATAATTCACCTTGAAAAAGGTGACAAAGGTAGAGCATCAAATCATTTATTTTCTTCTCTCGACATTAGAATCTTCCAGCAACAGTGTCACACTTCCATAGACGCACCAAGAAATCGAGGACCAAGGGTGCTATTAGCTACCTGTTCTATGTTAAGTAATGTTGGTAACTACTAACCTCTATGCAATGGAACATGACATTTATAGCTGTGTTCTATGAATTTTGTAGAAGAATGTGAATTCATTATGATCAAACTGCATGCAGCATTCAGATGAAAATGGCAGAATTCATATTCATAAACATCATTTCATCATGAATTATCTGATAATATCCTCTAAATCTATTACTTAATATCACAAACTATAAATAATTGCTTAAATCATTAAGTTAATAAAGCAGTAAAATAACTTACAACAAACCAAATTAAATCAAAGTCACACAATGGGTGATGAATAATGAAACAAATGATTTCTCACATCACAGATTATATAAATTATTTTCTTAATATCACTTGAGTAATTTATATGGATTAATTATTACGTCAAGAACTAGCAGAGTCATGATGATTGATCTGACATCTTCTGCCATGAAAAAGCTACCCTTCGTATCTAGGGCAAAGATGCAAAAGAAACTGAGGTATTTTTTCAAAACCCATGATTCTGTGTTAGTTGAGAGTTACTCTTCTACTGAAAATGCACTCTGATTACATTGATAATTATGGTAAACAGTAGCTTCTGCTAACTTTCTGTTGAGAAATTTCCAAGCAATAGTTACTACTGACATTATGATAATATTCCCATAGCCTTTTGAGCTAAAGAGCTCCATTTTCATGGATGAAACAACAAAAGTACAGAGTCCAGGGTTAGAGCTAACTTATATTATTTTATTTAACACTATTTTATACTTAAATGGTGTTTTCCTGTGTACTACAGCACCATCCTAATTGCTTGACAAATATTATTTAGTTATTTAGTATAAGAACTCATTTAGTTCTCAAAACAATTCTATGTGGTAGATTTTATTATCAGCTCAATGTTATAGATGAATACATCAGAGATAAACAGGAATCCAATGCCTTGCCCACAGTCACATAGCTGGTTAAGCGACAGAGCCAGGATTCAAATCCATGCAGGCTGACTCTGGAATCAGTGCTCCCAGCCTCTGTACTAACTCTACTGTCTTCTGTGTATGAATCCCAAGGTTAAAACTAATGGGTACAATGATTATACTAATTTTTTTCAGAAATATAAAATGTAAAATAACCTAGAGAGTAGAAAAATATTATACACCCACAAACCTAAACTTTATCATGGAAGCAGAAATGGCTAAAATGAAACTTTCTTAAGACTTGGAGAAATTCAGCATGAACTAAAAAAAAAAAGCATATTAAATCACATTGGATGAAACATTTTGCTTCCCTAAAGCAAGTGCTGTGGGATATTTTAAAGCATTACAGGGAAACACAGTGGATTATTTGCCTTAATATCGCCACTAATATCTCTTGGGAGATCCCACACTAGCTGAAGATCGAGGATTATTTTTGAAATATTCCCTGCAATGAAGTTATATAATACAATTTGATATTTTTAGCAGGAAGATTATCTCTAGAAAGTGGATTTATAGACTGTATCAAAGAGTTGGTGGTAAAGCACCAAAAACGTGACGTTTACAGCTTTATTTTCATTCTCGCTTACTCCTGATGTACAAAAATAGCTAACCTGTAGCTAATTCATACCGAGAAATACCTCAGACGACCCTATCTGCTTCACACACAGACCCTCACCCCTCATCCCTGAGACTAGGTGTGCACATCTTCACATGCCCATCTTGTAAATGCAAACCATGCATGTGTCTAACTCCTGCTGGACGTAGAACTGGGTGGTCTGCCATGTACCAGCTTACTGCTGAGAATGGAGAATCCCTAGAATGTGAAGAATTTCAGAACTGGTAAGTAATTAGCCTTGAACCTTAAGCTACACTCACCTTTGAGATCTTCCTAGAGGAAGACCAGGACCCCTGATCCCCCCAGAATAAACTCAACTCCTTGGTTTGGAGAAGACAAGGTAAATAAAGTTCATCACAATATTTGTGCTGTGTTTTTTTTTTAATTTTTAAAAAGTTGTGGTAAAATAAATATAACATGAAACTTCTATTTTTACCATTTTTAAGTATGCAATTCGGTGCACTAAATACATTCACAATGGCTGAGCAACCATCACCACGATCTAGTTCCAGAATGTTTTCAATATCTCAAACAGAATCTCTGTACCCATTAAGCAGTAAACCCAATTTCCTCCTCCTCCTCTCAGTCCCTGGTAACCTCTATTCTACTCTCTGTCTCTAGGAATTTGTTCTAGATATCTCATATAAGTGGAATCATCTATATTTGTCCTTTTGTGTCTGGCTTATTTAACTTAGCATGCTTTCATCCATGTTGTAGCAGAATTTCATTCCTTTTTATATAGGCTGAATAATATCCCACTGTAGTATGTATGTATATATCACATTTTGTTTATCCATTCATCTGTTGATGGACACTTGAGTGGTTTCCACCTTTTGACTACTGTGATTAATGTTGCTATGAACATTGGGGTACAAGTATTGGTTTAAATCCTTGTTTTCAGTTCTTTGGGGTATATACATAGGAGTGGAATTGCTGGGCCATACGATAATTCTGTACTTAACTTTTTAAAAGAACTGCCCAGCTGTTTTCTACAGCAGCCACACCAGTTTATACTCTGAACCAGCTTCCACAAGGGTTCTAACTTCTCAATATCCTTACCAACATTTACGATTTTGCATTTTTTATAATAAGCTAGTGCATCGTATTGTGGGTTTAATTTTGATTTGGGGGGGAGTGTTAGTTTCAAAGTCCCACTTCTTGTCATATGCTAGCAATGTGGACTTGGATGAGATATTTAATCTCTTTGGGCTCAGTTTTCACATGGATGAAAAGAATCCGACAGTTTCTGCCATGCCTGTCTCACAGAGTGCATACGGAAAGGAAAGAGTGCATACGGGTGAAATATTATTATTTATGTGTTATGAACATCAGCCTCATTAGCAAGACCACACCTGATCTGAGACAGGTGTATCAAACTACCTCAGCCTAAGGTCATAATGCTACCATGTTTAACTTGATTTTTAAAACTTTTTAATTGTAAAGTATAGCACACATTCAGAAAGTGCACAAAACATAAATGTCCAGTTTAATGAATATTATAAAATGATTATTTATTTAACTGGTCCTCGGGTTAAATGACTGAACATTCCTGGCACCCCAGAGCCCTGTAGAACAGCATCCTTCTTCCCCATAAACAGACCCACTATCCAGAATTTCATGGTAATTATTTCCTGTTTACTACCCAAGTACACATTCCATAAACAACATAATTTAGTTTTCTCTGTTTTTAAATTTTAAAGTAAGTGGAATGAAGTATGTATTCCTGTGGGTCTGGTTTCTTTTGCTCAGCTTTCTGGTTGAGACTCATCCATGTTGCTACATATGCATGCAGTTTGTTCATTGTCAATGCTGTGTGATATTCCATTGATTGAATATTACCCAAAAATGTGTCCATTCTTCCATAAATAGACATCTGGGTTATTTCCAATTTTTTAGCTATTATAAATAAATTCTACTATGATCATTCTAATAATGGTCTCGGTGCACATGGGCACACGTTTGTGCTCAGAATTACTAGGAACAGAATATCTGAGAAAGTGGTAAACTTCAGTAAGTAATGGCAAACTGTTTCTAAAAGGTATCAACTTTCACTATCACCAGCCGTGTAAGAGTTCCCGTTACTCTGTAGCCTCATTACTTCTTGGTTTGCAGGATGGGTATGCACTGGTTTTGTAGTTTTGCATTTCCCTGATTACTAGCTTTAAAT